CTTAATAAATAGGATTGGAAGAATGAGGTCAAAACAGGTTGAGGACAAGGGCCTGGGAGACACCAAAGAAGAGTAGGAAAAAGTCTCTATGACAGGAATGCAGGGAGTGAATCTGTTATAGATGATAAACAGGGAGCAGGGCACTGAAGAGAATACTCTATGGTGGACAATTTATATGGACAAGGAAAGGAAAATAAAGACTGAACAAGAAGAACACTTCCGTTATAAAGAAAACTTTGAAAGAGGAAAGTAATCTGGATTTGGCTTAAAATCTTTTAAGTAGGTATCCAAGCTAAATTTCAAGAAGATTTGGCTGTTAACGACCAACACAATTAATAATAATAATAAAGAATGGAATCAAACACACCAGCTAGAAACCCTTATAAACAATGCACAACTGAAGCTGGAAGAGTCTGGATTATAGTAGGGACAGTGTGTTGGGGGCTGGGAGGAGGTCAAAACCAAGACATTTCAATGCAGAGAACTGGAGTTGATGTCAAACTAGGATTAGGGAATAATGGAATTTTAAAAGATCAGTCACACACCAATGGAGGGGGGTCAGGGACAAGTTTGGTTTTGCATGTCCCTGGTTTGTGACTGTCGATTATCCCAAACTCCTAGCTTGAGAGAACACTGACAATTCTGATTAACATAAATAAATTGAAAATAATATACTTTAAACATAACTGTATTTGAACTCGTCAGCAAATTTTCAAGTGAAAATTCTGCAGACGGTCAGAAACAGAGTACGGGCCACAGTTCTAGAATACACATAGAGAATTTCGAAATGTTACCAATGATATGAATAACTGATGCTCTTCAAAAGAGGGAAGAATATAAGTAGTTAAATTTTAAAGTAGGTGGTTGCTATTCTTATAATGGGGAAAATGACCGTGCTTTAAATATGAACAAAAACAAGAGGTCAAGGTCAATATGGGGGTGGCAGCCGCTGCGAGGTGACTGCTCAATGTCTATTTTCCCCCTCCTACGCATTAACTGAGCCCTGTCTGTGTCTGGAATGGGAGTTTACTTGTTTAAAAAATGACTTCCCAGCCTCCTTTGCACATTGTAACTCTGGGGGGGGATTTCTAGAAAACCTTTTGCTTCCTAATAACGGCCCCTCTTTCCTCCTGCTGCCAGGAATGAGTCACATGAGGCGGAGTAGTCATCTTATCACCCCAAGGAAGAAAGCAGAGCAAGACAACAGGAAGAACCGAAGTCTCCGACGACATCCATAAGTCATGGTACCAACTCTGACTTGACCAGCCTTTGGACTTATTTTTACCTGAGAAAAATAAATCCCAATGTAACTAAGCCACTGGTGGTTTTCTGTTACCACCCAGGGTATTCATAACTGATAAACTAAGATGTAATTACATTTGGGGGCCACTGATTGTGGAAATATTCAGGACTGCAGACTTTAGCTACAAAGTGTAAGTATGTATTCCTATAGCTTCACAATCTCAAAAATATACATGTATACACCTACACCAACAAATCTACATGTAGCTCATTCAGAGTAAGAAAAAGAGCGACTGGATAGTGAAACGCCTAACCACCCCCACAAAAAAGTACCATGTTCAGTTATACTTAGTTATTGTGTTATATGAATAAATTCAGGGTATAAGAATGAAGTTCATAAA